GATGTTGTCGATCATCCGCTCGAAAGTGGCAGGCGCATTGCAGAGCCCGAATGGCATGACGTTAAATTCGTATAATCCATCGAGGGTAACGAAAGCTGTCTTGGGGCGATCAGCCTCAGCCATGGGAACCTGCCAATAACCTGAGCACAGATCTAGTGACGAGAAGAACTCCGCACCTTGTAAGCAATCAAGGGCATCGTCTATGCGAGGTAGCGGGTAAACATCTTTACGCGTGATCTTATTCAACCGGCGGTAGTCTACGCAAAATCTTATTGAGCCGTCCTTTTTCTTGATTAGAACAACTGGGGAGGCCCACGGGCTGTTAGAGGGCTCCATAACACCGCGATTCAACATGCCGTCAACTTGTTCTGCGGTTATACGATGCTCAGATGCCGATACCCGATACGGATGCTGCCTTAAAGGAGCGTGAAGGCCAGTGTCGCTTTTGTGAGATACTGTGGCCCAAAGTCAGTTGTGAGTCCAAAGTCAGTTGCTGGTGGTGGTCGAAGCCGGCGCACAAGCGCTCGATGAGGACGATGATGTCGGCGCGCTGCTGCGCCGTAAGGTTGGTGTCGATGCAGCAAAAAATTGCGTCGGTGAATGATGGGGAAGAGGGTGACGCGGAGCAATCAACGGCGTCAATAGGTAGCATAGTCGAGTGGTCGGGAACTACACGTGCACTCGAGGGATCGATGTCATCGACAAAGCCCAGGCACTCTCGGCACAGTAACTTGGAAGGCGAGGGAAACGGATTTGAAATATAAATTGCACTTGATCCATCGGGAACGCCGAAAGGGATCAGGAAGCACTTGCAGCAGACAGCTGCTTTAGAAGGCGTAAAAAGAACAGTTGAGCCATTATAGACGTCACAGGAAAGCGGTACTAGGGCTGATAAGAACGGGGGTATTGAAGTGTCAGCGGCAACGAAAACTTTTGCAGGTGAAAGGGCCGAGTCGAGTAAAGCACCGTCGCATAACGAGAGCTCCACTTCGGCGCGAGCACAGTCGATGACGCCATGATGAGTGCAGAGAAAGTTCCAACCTAATATGTCATGGGAACACTGCGGGAGCACTACAAGCTCGACAGCATATATAACGTCAGCAATAACGACACGTGCTGTGCATGCAGCAAAAGTGAATTCATTGATCGCTCGCAGTGCTCAAAATGAAGTCGTGAAGAGGCATTGTAACTTTTTTTATTCGACGGCAAAGTTTCTCAGTCATTACAGATACTGCGGCGCCAGTATTTACCAATGCAAAAACAGGTACTACCTTCAACAGAGAGAGCTACGACGTTGGATGGCGAAAAACAAAGTCTTGTGGAGTTCGAAAGATCTGCAGTTCTTGCCCCCAGAACTGCGGCTCCTAGTTTTCCACAGGGACAGGGCAAGGTCGACGTAGCATAGGGGAAAGGGAACGGCACTGAGGTGAAGGCGACCGGTGGCAGGCTCGCCAGATACAGCAGGCTCAGGTCTTGGTGGGAAATCATAAGTATTGGGCCGGACCTCGTCCATGTAGGGCGGTTGTCTTGAGCATGTAGGGCGGTTGTCTTGAGTGCGTCAGGGGTTCTGAAAGCGTGGTGGTGGTGGTCGGGAGAAAGCACGGGCAGCCTGGTACTTAGGCTCAGTCGGTACGACAAGGGGCGCGTGGACGTAGGCGTTCGCGACAAAGAAACGTGGGCGTTCGCGACAGGCGGACGTCGGGTTCCGTTCAGTGCTACGGCATAGGTCAGTGGAGCAGCCACAGGTGGTGCGTGAGCTGTTGGTAGCGCCTCGGACACTTGTTCCTGGACGACTCGCTGTATTGATGGCACTAAAGTACATGGGGCACCTTCGGAGGTATAAGGCACGAAGGACAACTGGCGTGCGACCTCCTCTCGTACGAATTGCTTGATCTCGAGAAGCAAAGTGGTGTGGTCTACAGCAATGCCAGCCGACGTTAAAGCGGAGATTGTTGCACATGGCGCGCTGGCACGAGGAGTGGTGTCACGCTGTTTCCAGAGCTCGTCATAGCTCTGAAAAAGTTGTATCACTTCCGCTACCATTTGCGAGCTCTTGGCAACAAGCATTTGAAATGTGTTGTCATTCACGCCTTTCAAGATGTGTTTGATCTTGTCAGCTTCTGTCATGGCCGAGTTGACACGCCGGCAAAGGTCGACCACATCTTCGTTATAACTGTTGTCATTTTTGCCATTCTGCTGAGCCTTAGTATGCAAGCGCTGTTCGGCCCTGAGTTTGCGAAGTGCTGGACGGCCAAACAAGTCCGCAAATGCCGTTCGGAAGGCCGACCAGGTGGGAAGGTCTCTCTTGTGATTACGATACCACAGACTGGCGACGTTGGTCAAATAAAATAGGACGACGGTAAGCTTGTGCGCATCGTCGCACTTGTTGTGCTTGCTCGCCTGGTCGTATTCGTCGTGCCAGTCTTCTACGTCCTTGTCATCGGTTCCACTGAAGGTAGGTGGATCGCGTTGCCGAAAGGAGCTGAGACAGACAGGAGCTGCAGTAGTTGGAGCCGAGACGTCCGCCTGCTGATTATCGTCCGTCGTCTGTGGACATAGTAGCAACTGGAGGCAACATACGGTTTTGTGATTCCAGGATTATGCGTTACCCAGCACCTCCGCCAATTAAAGTGAGCCGTTTTAGAGCGGCCTTCTTTTATATAACAGGAGAGCAGTCACGACAGGTCAAGTGGTAAAGGCGGAACCAGCCTGTGCACCGAGCCAAACAGACGTCGTGTTCTTAACAGACTGAGTGATACCCTCTGCCTTTCTGAGTAGCACTCATCTTCACTGCAGTTATAATGAAATAATTGTGGCTCCCTTTCAACTTCATTATAACGAGGTTTGAGTGTATTCAGGTATACTTATGTAGATTATTATCCGAGTAAATTGACGTGTCTACGGCACTACAAAGTGAAGACATGTTTAAAGAAGAATGGTTGAGACTAGAATTCACTTGTGAAGCCTTGTCCTCATAAGTTGGAGTTTATTGGTACATGTCAAGTTTCACTGCGAAGCATGTTGGTGGCATTTTAGTTTGCAATTAGTGAAACCGGTGTTCAATACTTTCTCGTCGGCCCATTTGAATATTGTTAAATGAAGACTTTTGGTGTAACGCGTACGCATGGTATTGAAAAAAAAAAAAAAGAAAACTCTCGCAACTAAGTTGAGCGGTGGGTTTCAGCTGCAAATTGATTGCCCCAAGGAGGCGGGGCAATTTGAGTATCATGGCATCAGTTGGCAAAAAGCTCATGTGCACAGCCATTTCAAAGAAACACAAATGCAGATGTCCTGCACACGCATATAATGAAGAAACTAGAAACATTGCAGTTATTCCTTACATGCATGAGAAGTTGCATGGCCTGAAAAATGTAGGAAACGATATGGGGTGAGTGTTATGTTGTCAATACTAAAAAAAGTTTAGTCGCATTGGTTCTGTGGTGCACGAATGGTCAAAAGGGTCGTGCGAACTTGAGCTTGTTGGTACGCATTCATAGTAAAAAACAGCGTGAAAACAACACGGAAGAGACTTACAGTTCTGTTTTTTCTGTCTCTTCTTTGTTGTTTTTGCGCTGTTTTAGTCGCAAGGGTCTCCTGCTGGCAAGGAATAATGCGTTCAGAGACAAGCCAATTGTTTTGTCCATTTGTGCAGCATTTGTTCACCAAGTTCCTCTTTCATGTGTTTGCAAGTACATCAGCTAGACTGGTGGATGTATGAACACACATCTCAATTTATTGACTGGAGCCATATTATCTCAAGTTGCATTGTCAGTCGCACAATTGTAATTCCACCTTCGACAGCACCACAATATTGTAACGTCATCCTAATCAGACCACACGAGGAATCTTGGGAGGCATATCGTATCATAAAGAATGTTGCATTTTGTGTAATTTAAGCTTCTGTATGATTACTAAACAAGGAGTTCCACTTTAATTATTGAGTGTAAACACATGACCTGGTTGTTTAAATATCTGTGCCTCTTTGACCTGCACGATGCACCTAATTTTCGAATGTTTAATCCAACCTCTAGTTATCCCATCTTATAGTCAACGAAGGTTGGTGGGTGCTTATATTATTTATTGTGCAAGCAATATGCATGCTGCCTAGTGAATTTATCTTATTTTAATAAATGCCGACCATTCTTTCTAGCGTACTCGTTAACTATCAGAACCTCACATCGTATTGCCAGCAGTGTTGATAGACACTGATTGGTAATTATCCACGAATTATAGACTGCTTGAGCACTTCTTGGGCAACAAAGTTGTATTATTTTTCTATGCTGTAAGGCGCACTGGCGCAAAAAACAAAACAAAACAAAAAGGTGACGGTTTTGAGCCATTCAGCACTTGAACAACTGGAAGCCATAGAAAGGCAGTCACAGCTGTACACTGAAGTTCGTAATTGAGTTACACAGTAATATGTTGCACTTAGCCAAATTTACATTATCTAAGATGTGCTGGCAACGATGCAAGTGAAATGCTCAATGTGGGGCCCCCGCTGTCCCCCGCACTCGTTGGGGCGGCTCCTGCGGCGTACATACTTTTCACATAAATGCTTGCGCACCTGTTGGCAGCACTGGTGTGCTTGAAAAAGGTCTATTGACACTGGTCAATAAAGAGCCTGTAATAAATTGTCCACCACATGCTGCAGCAAATGATGTGCCGTGTTGTGACTAACAGGCCTCCAGGAGCACAATTCAGCAAAAAAACGCATGGCCAAAATTTTTGTCGGTACTCCTTTAATGGCAGAGCTCACATTACCCCAAATTTTGCAGATACGATAAAGATAGAGGTAAGGTGATGCATTTCGCTAACCCTTGTTTGCACTGTTCCTTATATGTGCCAGTTCAACTACCAAGCAAATGTTCACTGCGATATATGCAGCCACTAAAGTTATGGTCCTTGCTATCTAATACATTAATACTATTGCTGTCAGTGCTTTGCCTTTTGACAAATATTAGCTTTTCTCTTATTTTAATAACTTGTCCTTTCTTACTCAGGTACAAACATGTCATGCTTTCATGGAGTGAATACAGTGAACTCAAAAGAAATGGTAAGAAAAGAATTCAGTCCTTAATTTTTGTGTGTGTGCGCAGAGTTTAGCATCTTATGACCTTAGCCACTAAACAACCTCTGAGGTTAAAAAATTGTAATGAAAGGAAATATGTGCACTTTTGCTGTGTGAACATGCTGCTGCCAAAATTTGGCGAATTCGTGCTATAATAAGGAAGTTGGAGGGGTTAAAACATTCATTTAAGCTGGTTTCAAATTTTTTGTGGCCTCGCTGCCCTTCTCCACCCACTCCAGCAACGCAACACAACATCAGCAATACATGATTGGCGTACCTAATGACTAGCCCGGCTGGCCCCACTTAAGCACACGACATAGTCGTGCGGGGGAGAAACTGCGGTGCAAGGAGCTTCCTACCCCTAGTCGTAAAGTAGCGGGGCGCCTCATTATCTCAAAGGCTTTTGTTCTGGCAATACCACTTCTACCGGTAGTGTCGGGCTGTTCAAAATGGTAGAGGGCACAGGAAAATGCAAATGCAAACAGCGCAGCTGAAACTGCATCACTGCAGGGTCAAAGTGCCGCTTCGTAGGGCAAAAGACCGGTTGATGAGCTCAGTGGTTTATCAAATTACCCATGGGCAAGTCTTCGTCACTGTGCATACGAGGGGGATTGGCCAGGCGCAAGAACAGTTTTTCGAAATGGAGTATCTGCGCAATGCCAGCACTGTATTGTTTGGAAAGTGTGATCGCTTATACAAATTAACAAGATTAGAGGGGAGGGGGGGGCTACAAAAAAAGTCAGCTAGTTTACTGGCCCCTTAGTTTTTATTGTGAGAATGAAAACAATTTTTCCTAGAATGTGTGAGGCCAAAGGAACTTTAAAAATCATTGTATTTTCAGACCTTTTGTTTTTTGTGGGTGGCTTTAAGAGGCTTAGCTAAACAAAGGCTCGGGTACAGGAAGCAGCATTTTTCCTTGATTCTCTTTATTGTTAAGTTTTTAAACTGAAAGTTCTTGTGTATTGTGGGTGTTTGAAATGTAAGTATTGTTTAGAAGTTTGCGAATAGTAATACTTTGGTTCAAAGTGGAGGTTCCTCATGAGCGAATAATTTTGATGTAAATATATTGAACACAGTAGACTTTCATTAAATGAAACCTGAAGTGGTCTGAAAAATTTGTTTTGTTTAAGAGAAGTTATATTTACTGGGAGATGAACTGGATTGAGGCATGCGGTACAATACCAATCGTAATAAAAGCAGTTGTTCCATTTAAGCAGCAATTTTTTAAGAGGTTCTCATTTACTGAAAGCCTTCTGTAGGTATGAGGTGTCCAAAGAACAAAGCTTAACAGTTCTAGCATGTTCCTTATATATATTGTAGTGAAGGGCAGAAGGGGGCTCTGGGGCGAGCAGAGGAAGGGGACGAAGTGGGGCAGAATAGAACAGCTTGCCCCCGAAAAACGGGAGTTGTCTCTTTCTCGTTCACTACAATGACACAGCCATAGAAGGAACCTCTGCGCGACGACCCACATTTAGAAACTGCACTAAGGAGCGGAATCACTTTACAGCGTCCCGTGGCTACGGCATCCGACCTGACTACCGCAGGTGCCACAGCTAGCGCGCTGTCTGCAGGCGTTATTGCTGTTCAAGCCCGTGAGTCAACTGAGTTGACTTCACAAACCCTTTCAGCACCGAGGGACACTGTACATGCTTCCTCGACCTTTGACTATGGTGCCGCAACTCAAGCAACATTGGTCTCCTTGCCAGAAGGCAGGTGATATTGCTTGCTTGCAGGCTCTGGCGACCTTGCAGCGGTCATGCGGGGCATCGCTACACTGTGCAAGCACCTTGAAAACGTCACTGCCTTTTTTCACAGCAGCCTTGGCACACGCCATATTGCCTTCGGCATATGTCGCTGAAAATTTTGAATTTCAGGGCGAGGAACAAGGAGCAGCTGTTTTGCTGCAGACGATCAATTCACAGGCCCATCACCGCTCTTGGCCTGACGACGTAATATTATCGATTGCCGAAAGCCAGCTGTGCGATTCGACCAAGGCATACGATTCCTGGCACCAAATACGATTCCTGGACCGAATGGAGTACAGCCTTTGTCACTGCCTTCAGCGTACGACCACCACTTCGTGCTCATGCGGCCACGTCGGCAGGCATCCTCTGAGGACATTCGTCAATACGTCTACCACAAACTCAAGCTCCTTGAAGACTGTGGCATTAAGTGGATCTCTCCAGCTGCCCACGAGTATGTTGTTGATGGGTTAGTTGACTTTACCTATGCTTCCATCCTATCCTCACAGTTGCCTGAAACATCACCACAGGTTTTCGCTCGTAAGGCAGCTGCACTGCAGCAGAATACTCGTCGTCGCATGCGCTTCGACACCGTACTAACTGAACAAATCATCACCGCCAGGCCACAACACTGAGGAGTGCCTTCAATCTTTCCCGAGATAAATGCGTTACCAGGCTTGTCTGATTCATTGGTTATCAGTTCATGCGATGGAATTGGGGACTTGTCAGCGCTGATAGATACCGGTGCAGAACATACGGCACTACACTGATGTCACGCTCCAGGCGCTATTCGTCTGTGGATGCAACCTTAGCTCCTCGGACATGGAGGAAGTGCTATGCTAGTAGTGGGCATGCTCGACATTTCCGTTCGGACATCAGCGGGACTAAAGTATTGCCAGCTGTTTCGTTCTCGGAAGACCTTTCTGCCAACATGATTCTGGGAGTGGATTTCGTGCTGTCTGACATCCAGCTCACCATAGATCATGGCCATGTGGAGCTCCAGCCTTCATCAACTTGATCGACTGTCCCGAGCCACCGACAGGTGAGCTGTCTAGTTGGCCCACTCTATCTTCTAGATTAGTTCATCATCAAGCAGTCTTCGCTGACAGTACTGCAGAACAGCACCAATTTATTTCAACATCATATCTTGACAGGTGACCACCCCCAAATATTTGTACCACTGCAAAGGTACGCTTAGTGAGAGCGTGCAGTGATTGTGGAACAATTAGCTGGAATGCTTGTCATGGGCATTATTAGGCCTTCATCTAGCCTATGGGCGGCACCTGTCGTTCTCATTAATAAGAAAAACAGGTCGTTGTGTTTTTGCGTGAATTACCAACAGCTGAACGCATGCACAACGCCTGACTTATACCCCTTACCCTGCATTGACAATGCTGTTGATACAGTACACAACTACAAGTTTTTTCGTCTCTTGATTTACACGCAGGATACTGGCAAATCAACGTCGCCGAGGACCATGAAATGAAGAAAGCTTTTACCACTCTTTTGGGGTTGTACGAGCTCAACTGCATGCTGTTTGGACTTCGAACTGCTCCTAGTACATTTCAGCGGGTGATCAACTCGGTGCTATTGTTCTTGGACGACATTCTGGTCGTTAGCAAGACAGAGGATGAACATCTTCGAAATTTGGATAAAGTACTGCAGGCTGTATGAGGCGGCGTTCTGTTTAAACCCTGAGAAGTGCCGATTCGTCCTGTCTAAGATATACCTTGGGCATAATATATCACATATCGGCATCCAGCCACTTCCGGAGCGCATCGCTGCTGTGGAAGTGGAAGAGTATCCAACACCAACTTGTTTGAAACAGGTGCATTCATTTATGGGCATGGCTTCGTATTCTGTACTTTGCCTGGATCGTAGCTACCTTGAGTGACCTCCTTAAAAAGAACACGGTTTGAATGGGGTGCCTTGCAAGAAAATTTTTTTTCAAACGATAGAGTAAAAGCTCACTTTCTACCCTATACTAAGTCATTTCAGTGATGACTGGAGCACTGAAGTGCACACCGACGCCAGCCAAGTTGGTTTAGGGGCAGTTTTAGTGCAGCGTGACCAGGATGGCATAGAACATGTTGTCGCTTATACCAGCAGGAGACTTTCAGACACCGAGCGCCACTACCACTCCAACGAGCTGGAATGTCTTGTGGTGGTACGGAGCATCGATGATGAATTCCGGCATTATCTTTTCAGGTGCAAACTTACGATGGTGACAGATAATGCTGCAATAGCATGGATCTTTCTGTGCGTCAAGAGACGTAATAAAATGCTGCTTGTCTGTTTCTGTTTGATTTATAGAAAGAACCTCCTGGCATTAGTATGGGAAATAGCACAAGTGGCTCAAAACTTAAGTTTTTGGCTGATTAGGCTGGATAGGGGGTGCGATCTAGCAGGTCGCAGTTGAACCAAGCAAGCAGAATCATGGCCTTCGAGATCGCAGAAAATTGTTCAATGGCTCTTGTTGCTACTTTGGCTCCCGCTATTTTCGCTGTGCTGTTACTGGTGTCGGCAGCTGCATAGTAAAGGCAGGCAACATTAAGCATGGTAACAGTGCCCAATGACCGCTTTCCAAGCGCGGGTGATTTGAAGTGTACTAACAGGATGCAGATCATTAAACTGTGATTTTATTTATGTTTTAAAATAAGCACTTTCTTCGCACAAAACTAGCACCATGAGGTTTCTGGACCGCTATTTCAACAATAAAACGCCCACTTAACATTTGCCTTTAGTGTGATCAAAGCATCGGGTGGAAAATGGAGGCGAAATACTGTACCAGGGAGAACATTTCTTTTCTGATGAGCGGGCTGAGTTGTATTGAGGTAGCAGAAGTTCATCCTGTCAGGTTCCATTGACTGCCTCGCTTTAAACCCTTGAAATTTCTGGAGCCCTCCACTACGGCCTTTCTCATATTCATACGGTGGTTTTGGGGCGCTAAAGTGGTACTGACAAAAAAAAAAAAAACCTTGGCCTCGTGTTTTTCTGCTGCAATGCGTTGCTGGGGGTTTGTTAGTCATGACACGACACATCGTTTGCTACAGTATACAATAGATAATTAATTACAGGGCCCTCATTATGAATAGGTTTCAGTTTGAGAGAGTACCAGAACTGAGTGCAACTGTCGCCACCTAGCGTGTGCAGCTTTTGACCACGTCAGCACACAAAACTGTGACGGACTTCCGCGTGGTCCGCATAAAGAAATATTTTCGAATAGGAAACGGGACTGGAATTTGTCCAAACACATAGCTTTCTAAGCGTGCATCACGCACTCGCAACCAGCCGCTGAGGAATAAAGACTGCGGGAACTAACATGGCAAAAGAAAAATGGCAGCAATGACGTCATCAAAACTTGTTTTGTTGACCGTAGCGTGGTGACGTGAGAGAAGTAGGGGGTCACCTCTGGGCCCCCCTGATGGTGTCTATAGTGCTATGGAGTCGATCGCTAACGCAAACTTCAAGATAAATTTAAAATACCTTCCAAGCTATATTCGCTGTTGATATCTTGCAGATGATATATGAATGTTCACGAGAATCGACCCCGCAGGCTATCTCGGCTCCGAAATCTTGTGTCAGTACCCCTTTAAACCAATCGCTTTAAAACCTTTGTACAGTTAGATTAGGCACTTGAAATACTGAAAAACATGTTTCCCAAAAATAGATTTCTTATAGTGATTTTTGTTGTTTGATCTGCATGCTCATGCTGTTGCCTAAATGCGGGCAGCATGAGCAATGAAATCGTTGAGTGGCTTTATGCAAATTATACACGGATTATTGAGGATGTCAGACAGAAAAGTCTAAATAAGGTTTATAAGCTTTTTCGTCAAAAGGTCTAGCCTAATAAAGTTCGGGTTCATTTTTATGTACTAGATAGCTTGTTTTAGGTTGTATGCATTCAAGATAATATGAATGTTTTGTATGCTCTCAAAAGAATTATCATAGACATTCTGCAATACTACAAAGATTTAGTTTTTTCTTGTTAACACCTAGTTAATTTATTTTGGTATACTACGATCACTACATCGTAAGTTTAGATGCCTGATAATACTGGAAAAATTAATGCATAAGTTTACTGAAGGAGTTTTGATATAGTATAGTGTGCCATGCAGTTTTCATATTTGAACAGCAGTCGTATACTATTTAGCTTCAGTTTTGACTGTGATGTATCCCCATTTTTCGTTAAAACGTAAAAGCACTAGTGGTTGGTTGCCTTATATACGTCTGTGTGTGGGTGTGTTTTGATCTCTCCCCACCCTCTTTTTGTTTCAGAACAAGCTCGAAGTGTAGAAAGTCCAAGGTTAGTAAACCACTGCAATTAAGTCTTTTCCCCCTTTGTTGGAGGGCAGAAACTAAGCCAAGGGCTTGTTGTATTTGCCAATCCAATCAAAGTTTCTGTAAGCTTCATGAACTTCTTTGTGCTTTGCAATTTTGTTAATATTGATTTATTTGATTTATACAAAAAAATTTATTTGTTCTCATGAAATTCTCGTTAGTCTTCCAATGTCTCATTGGTGGACTTTGCTGATGAAGAGACAAGGATGAGTTTATTTGAGCTAATGCATACAGACAAGTTCACAAGGAGGTAAAATAAAAAATAGGCATATATATATATATATATATATATATATATATATATATATATATATATATATATATGTATATAATGAAAGTGCTGCTCCAAACACTAATTTTTAATAGTAATTGCTTCAAACCTGTTCCGAAATGGTATTGGAACCATCCAGTGAGCCTTAAAAGAAAACCAAAAGCAAGCTACTCAGCAGCATCAATCCAGAAACATTGCAAGGGGTCGCACAAATGAGACTGAGGTGGATAATTTGTTTTTTTTTTTAATGTGGTTTATATCTTTATTTGTATAAGCATTAAGTCATGCTTTGAAATAAAATTAAAAAAAAACGAGCATGGGGTCTGAGCTTGAGCAATGGCATTGTTATATTCAGTCTCATGTTGTTGTTTTTTCACCTTTTTGCGATTTGCATAGTTGACACAGCTGAGGAGCATTTATTACAGATATGCAGTGAAAGATAAACAGCCATCTATCAAGTTGATCGCGCTATACTTAACAGATAACTCAGTAATATAATGTGCTAAATCTCGAGAGGGACACTTGCATCCTTCCTGCTCAGCCGGAGCACTGCTAAGCAAAGTCCGAACTTGCCTGAACCCTCCCCTCCCATGATGTACACGAATGCTGTTACTATACTGCTTATATACTTGCTGCATAATAGCGTACTGCATGTTTAATAGTGAATATAAATATTTATGAGATGCTTAAATGATGTTATAGACTTCAAGAGTTGTTGGGAACATGCATCTGCCCTGAAAACACCAATAGCAGCCCTAAACTAGCATTTTTTTTTGCTCCTAAGACACCTAAGGCTACTCCAAAGCACCATTTCGCAAAATTTTGCTTTCATCCTTTAATATATTTATATACACACACACACACACACACGTATATATATATATATATATATATATATATGCCCCGCCGCGGTGGTCTAGTGGCTAAGGTACTCGGCTGCTGACCCGCAGGTCGCGAGTTCAAATCCCGGCTGCGGCGGCTGCATTTTCGATAGAGGCGGAAATGTCGTAGGCCCGTGTGCTCAGATTTGGGTGCACGTTAAAGAGCCCCAGGTGGTCGAAATTTTCGGAGCCCTCCACTACAGCGTCTCTCATAATCATATGGTGGTTTTGAGACGTTAAACCCTACAAATCAATCAATATATATATATATATCGTATTTACTTGCGGAACCAATGCACTCGCATAATGAACGCATTCTCAACTTCAGTCATCAAAATTTTGATTTTTTCCCCCTGCGTAATAAACACGCCCTCTACGTTGATCCGCTGCAGTCCTGCTAACCGACATCTGGCACCGCCTCACCCGTTGGATCTCTTCCATTTTTTATTATTATGCCCACCCCCCTCGGCTCGCACCCTCCCGTTCTTCGCCCGTTGCCGTTTTGTTTTTATTTCTATCTGTGCGCGGCACGTCTCCGGTTTTATTTGTGCGCCACAATGGTGTTCACGAACGGTGCGAGTGTAGAGACATCCCAGCTAATAAGCACACAGCGAGCGAAGGACATCAAACTGCCGCGCCAACCGGTCGCATCCTGCGAATATGAAAAAAAGCCCAACCACGTGCACGCGATTTTCGAGCGACAACGACGATATACTGTTGCGAAGGGTCGTTTGTCACTATCACGTCGCAGGTTTTTTGAAAACCAGAAAAAATCACTTTTTTTGAAAAGATTGCGATATTTTCCACAACATAGTGGCACCCCTGATTCTCGCTTTGCTTGTTACTCGCACGTAAAGGAACTTTTCATGTAGCAGTAAAGTGGCAGCTGTATTTTGTCGTTACTCTTTTTATCGACGCTTTGTTTTGATGCTTCGGGGGTAGTTTGCTGCAATGTTGGTTACTTGCTACAATTTTAACAGCGTCGTCTCGATCGTCGTGCGAGGTTGCCGCGAAGTTGGCAAAGTGTGTCGTAGCGCACGCTATTGGGAGCCCCTCGAGATCACAGCAAATATAACTGTTGCGGTTAAACAATTGTGAGAAAAGAGCCTCAAAACGCTTTTATGGCGAGTGCAGGCGTCCCAGGGACAGCTTGCAAAAGATAGCGTTATCAACCACCGAAGACGAGTAAAGTACAAAAATGAAGCCGTTTTGAAACAGTATATGCATATGTCAATTGAATAAGGTTAAGCGACCTAACTTTTTTTTACATTACCGCATTTTTTGCTCCTCTCAAAAACGTTTACATAAAATTTACACCACGTAAAAAATGCACCCCCCAACTTTGCTCCAATTTTTTGAGAAAAAAGGTGCGTTCATTACATGAGTAAGTACAATATATACACACACACGCACATATCGAATTTACTCGCATAATCCTCGCTCTTTTTTTGCTAGAAAGCCGATGCAAAGTTGGGGGGTGCGAGAATTACGCGGAGAAAACTTTCCACGAAAACGCAGAGATCGAAAAAGAAAATGAAGTGGCCGCAAATCGGGATTCTCACACCAGCAACTAACAGCAAGTTTTAAGAAGTACTAATTAGAACTTACCTCAACAATAAAAGCAGAGGTTCAACACAAGGCAAGATTTATTTGAGACACAAAAAGTGGAAGCAAATAGTCGAGAACTAGAATACCATACGCAAAGCTTGTGAACGTTGCGGGCGTAGCGGTAGCGTTCGTCGCTCAACAGGAGTTTTCAAAAGGTAAGCGTAGGACGTCAGTATTGGGCTGATGGCTATTGAACAGAATCGACCGCAGTTTTCTTCCGAAGAAATGAAGTTTACCATCAATTCCTGTTTTAGACACACGGCAGGCCCAACGGGTCTTGGTGGCTTGCAGCTGCGGTCACCAGTAGCGAACACAAAACTCGTAGGCTCCGAAGGGCCTACCTGCGGCCCTGTTGCCATTGTTTAGCGCATGATCTATCACTTGCAACTTGACGCAGCTGTGTGGCTTCAGTATCGCCCCATAACGTGCCAAGATTACCGACACAACACACAAAACACGCCACAACGCGCACTGGCCACTTCGGCTTGGCTTAGATTGGATTGAATCTCCGTGCAATAGTACACTTGATGCTTAAGAGATGGCGCCAAATGGTGCGTGCTATCATCATCAATGGCTCATCAATGGTGCATGCTATCATCATCATTGCGGCAGTTTTCGGGGGTGCGATAATTACTTGAGGAAAAAAAAATCGTATTTTTTCTTGGGCGATGTGGGAGGTGCGAGAATTATGCGAGTGCGAGTATTACACGAGTAAATACGGTACACAGTGAATTCCAGATATGTCGAACTGTAAGGTGATCGCAAAATATTTCGATATATGTCGAGAATTCGAAGTACAAAATATGTCTATTTAGGGCCTAAGTTAAAGCATTTAAGGCCTCAGAAATTAATACAAGCAGTAACATAAATTCGCTCACAGTGAGGTGTGAAGTGCAAGTTACTGCACTTTATTTCGCAAGAAAATAGTTGCTAAACTTTTCTTGCTTCCTGAGCATTGTCAAGTTCCAGTCATCCTCAATATCATTAAAACTTCTCAAATAAGCGAATTCAGCTCCTTCGACCACAACAGCGTTGATTGATGCAGAACACCAATGCAAGCTTTGTAGTGCAGCAAAAGGTTGGTTAACGGTGGCGGCGAAGACGTTTGCATATTCATAGCCGCACGGCCACACTTCCGCGGCACCAGCAATGGCAGCCATCATCTTGGCATCAATGCAGTCAGAAACAGCTACGTAGTCATCTGTACCGATGAAGTCGCTCATTGTCCGGAATGGTGCCCGGAAACGCTGATAAGTCAGAATTCAATGAGGCACCGTACGCCATTGTCAGCGGCAATCATGCACCTGAAGCCATCACCTGACCCACAAGGGAAGTTTACGGCAGTGCATTACTAGACGCCGCTCTAAGCGCCAGTCATGACTTATATCACTATGTGCGGATCAAGGTTCAGTTCAACTCCTCAATAAGGATTTATCTGGAACGAGGCAAGAAGTACATACGTCCACAAGGCACAAAAGACGCAACGCCGAGCCGGCTTTCCACCATCGACATGTTGGCGATATCGATGTCACTCGGTGGCTTTGTAGCTGGCAGCCGTTGCATTCAACGGCTTTGATGCGCAAAAGGTAATCTTCAAGACACATGTTTAAAAACCGAAAACACTAAATATGCGTCACAAGGTTGCACATCTCGAAGGCCATGCAATAAAAAGCATTTGTAAAGGCGAATGAAGCTTCACTTTAAAATGTGTGTTATTCCCACTTTCTCCTGCTGCTACTTCACTGTGGCGTATTTGCACAATTTTAATGTTCACAAATTGGCAAGTACCATATTTACTCGAATGTGAAGTGAGGAGAGATTTTTTCATCTGTTCATTAGGCAAGAAATAAAAGTGAGAAAATATTGTGAGGCCCTGCAACAGAAAAATTGTACAGTAAGGAAGATTGGCATGGAGTACTGGCGCTAAGCTTATCGCTGCCATCTATGACTGAAATAAGCCCTCTTAAACAATTCATTGAATATGAGGCACTGACGTACTGGCGCTAAGCTTATCACTGCCATCTATATCTGAAATAAGCCCTGTTAAACAATTTATCGAATACGAGGCACAATCGCAACTTTGTACCTGTACCTGGACACAAGTGGAAAGCCCGTTATGTGAACAAAAAACCAGCCACAAGGTGGTGCTTATCATGGTCTACCCAGCAAAGTGCATCAGTGAGGTCTTCCTTTGTTCAGTACCAT